TTTTTCATCCATTTTTAATTTTATTTATTTTTTTTTATGGTTTCAATTGAGTTTATTTTTTGTTCCTTTCGATTCGATTATGTTGCTCCTCTGAGTCAATGAGGCCTGAATGGCTGTAAAGAGTTCGGTGCAGTTAGTTTTCATGGCATTGCCGTTTCCTAGAATGACTTGAATAATATCTTGGAAAGGATTTTGTAACCTAACCTAACCTAACCTGAAATGGGAGAGTCAACACAGAGTGCGGTCGCACGTCTTCATTAGTAATTGAGAAAGGTCAATTGGATAATCAGTGGATAGATGTCGATGCTTGATGCTTGAGAAGAATGCCGAGGTAGGCAGCATAGTGAGTCGCCTTCACTTGCTCTATTCGAGTCGCATAACTCACATGTAATATATAATTTACATACGTGAGCATGTGTGTGCGGGTCATTGTCAGCCTGGCCATCCGGGCGATGGACCGTGACAATGGCCATTCAGAGGCAAGCAGATGGAATGCCAGCAGGAGGAGGAGCAGGAGCTGCTAGCTGGCCTGTGATTAAAATGATATTTTCAGACGATGTCAAACAGCGTGTGACTAATGGGTCTATGGGTTGTCCGAAATGTCTGTTATTACTTGATAAATCTTGTCGGTCACACATTTAGCAGCACAGCAAACACACACGCACACACGCATACAACGCTCTCATGTATGTGTGTGCGTCTGTGTGTTCTAGGCAATCGTGTGTTTGTTTTATGCAAATCTCCCACAGTCGAGCCTAATGACAAATGGGTCAAAAATTTGCGGCTAATGACACAAATATGCTCGTGCTATATGCTATAAATTTTATGCATAAATAAACCCTTAACCGCCCAGAAGTATTTTCATCCACACAAGGGCAAAAAAAAAAAAAAGAGAAGCATAAGAAATATATGAAGATGATGCAGAGCCGAAACGAGCAGCAGGGCAACACACAGCAAGCAAACTATGATTGAAGACTTCTAGCAACGACCTTTGCGGACGCCCTGGCACCGCACATTAATCAATGGCCAAATAAACATCGGATTAGTCGAAATGGTCATAGGGGCGTTCCAACATTATAAAGGATTTGGCCAAATCGAGCGCAGAACTCCAATTAGAAAGTCGATTAGTTCTAATGCCTGAATATGGATGGACCGAAGTACTTATCATCCATCGAGTCCTAGCATCAGTGCTGAATGGGATTACTCTGGCATACCCGCTCACTGGCCGAAAAGAGTATGACAACTTGCAATGGTATGGCAGAGCATAGTTGAGCGCCTAATTGAGGAAGGGCCTCCATAGCGTAGTCCGATTAGAATCTGTAATAGATGAACTTGATCTCAGTAGAGCGCAGGGCAAAGTCTAGAGCGATACAGCTACATAGCACTTACTAAGAACATAGGCGATGGTCTGCCAGGCACAGTCCCCTCCGCTTTAGGACTGTCTATGATACGACTGAGGGCTTTGGGTGTACTGATCGCAGTATAATCTGCTGCAAGTTGACATTTGGCGGTGTCTTTAGCTAAAAGAAATGCAAGTCTTCTATAGAATCTCATTGCACCAGTTTTCCCTTAAGAAAAAGTTACATACATACATACATATGTATGTTAATAAAATTGAAAGAAAAGGTTTTTAGAGAGAGCATTGATAAAGGTAAGTACTAGAGTGACATCCATACATGCGCCAGGCCAGTATATGAAACTGAAAATAACACCCATTGTCTATTTTGCATAATTTATAAAATTTACAGAATTTAAATTAAATAGTTGCGTTCTTCGATGAATCGATAACATCGATAAATCGTCACGGACTTTAACAGTGCACTCGGTGGCAGCATTAAGCACGTGCTGAAAGCTTCATTTCTCGAATCGAGCATACCCCAGTGTGGCTGGAAGGAAAACAATATATTATTTATAATAGCCTAATTCCGCTATATTAGACACTTACTTGACTTCCTTTTGTTTGCCCAATTCATTGCAAGGGCATAAAAATGCTCGGCGTATTTTAACCGAAGCGATCTTAACATAAAGGTTAACATAGAGGTTACATTACAGCAACAATCGATATACAGAGGTAATAATCGACTTAGGATTAACATAAAAATCGAACGTGATATTCAAATAAATCCAATTAATTCGCAGTTGCACTTAAAGGGAAATTCTATGATGGTAATTGTGATACATAACCAAGATATGGATACTCACTGTCTCGCTCTCGTTCTAGCACTCCCTCTCTCTCTCTCTCTTTCACGCTCAGTCGCTCCTGCAGAGCTGGTCAAGTTAATAAAAAGCCAAATAAATACGAAATCTGTTAAACTGAAACTTCAACATAATCCCGGGGCACGTACGGTATGTGATGTATTATTTACATTAGTTGTCCAATTCAAATACAATAACTGCAATACAATGAACCAGCTGCTGTACGCCGGACAAGACAGAGACCATGGCCGTAGCCGTAGCCGTAGTCGAGGCCTGGTACGCTGGTTAGCTCTTTGCTGGCTTGTCTTTGTATTTGTATTTGTATTTGTGTTTTGTGTTTGTATTTGCGTTTTTTCTGTATTTGTATTTGTATTTGTTTTTTTGTTAGTTGGGTGGGCGGACAGCTGGACATATGAGTGTGTGTGTGTGTGTGTGTGTGTGTGTGTGTGTGTGTGTGTGTGTGTGTGTGTGTGTGTGTGTAGTCTATAGGAAAATCATTGCTAGCGACAATAAAAAAACATGAACACACGCACGCCAAGATAAAGCTGGAGACGGAGATGGAGATGGAGATAAACTAGGCACGGCAACAACAGCAACAACAACAACAACAACAGAAAATAGCGTGGAGACCTAAACAAATATGTTGCAAGCGTGACAGCGGCAATCTAAGGATCCAAGGACCTTCAGCCTCAAGGCTGTAGCTGTAGCTGTAGCTGAAACTGGAGCTGGAGCTGGAGCTGGAGCAGCTGGAGGTGGCGCGCAACAGGAATTACCTCTATTTGTCTTGATTACGTCCTTTGTCCATCATTATCGAGCACTGGGCTCAGTTGCGCCTGGCACTCGATCTGGTGTCACAGCAACTCTCTGATATGCCATGCGATATGGTATAGCTGTTGCGTCTGAAGTTTTCATTCAAATTCAATATTGTTGACTTCGATGGAATTTGAGCCGAGAGCTCAGAGCCCTTTGTGGCTCTCGATTGAAGTCGCAAATACTCTAGGCAGAGGCACACACTCCATGATAACTTCAAGTGCTCTCGGCAGGTTCTCATAATTGGCATTTCCATTCCAGGTTGTTCGCTGGCATTATGAACAGAAGACGCGTAAGAAGAGGAGGAGGAGGTGGAAAGCTCTAGACAGTCCCACAGTGTCCTAAGTCAACAGCGGTGGCATCGTTCAACACCTGGTCGGCGAACAGGTAGCACAAGGCACACCTTGGCGCTAATAAGCTGCAATTTGATCATAATTATCACTGAGAGCGGACTCGGCGAGGGCGACGTAATTTCAGCTAAGTGAATGGACTAATGCATAGCCAAAGAAAAGCGAAAAGCTCTGAGAAATGCTAGAGACACCGAGTCGCTTAGCTGATTCCCGCTCGCAGTTCAGTTACACATTTGTTGGCCATGCGGTGCGCTGCTTTGTGGCTGTCTTCGTCAACTGGCGCACATTGCTCATACGCCGCGTGCGCCCAAATATTTGCCCAGATATCGGGCGCGGCTCGCGGCCACCAACAGGCGCTGTATCCGAAAGATACTTTCGCAGCACATCAAATTAGCGTCCTAACTAACTGGCCCCGAATATTTGCCCAACACTTTTGGGATGCCGCGTGCACACACACATGAGAGTGGGAGAGGCGGGCAGGTGGGCTTTAGTTGAGTTTCTCTTGCAATTTATTTGCCGGAAAAGCAAACGCAGCTCAGCCAAAAGGCAAACAAATACAAATCCTATTTGAATTGTAACCATTTTGCCTAGTGGGCTAAGCAGCATATGGGCCATGGCCCCAGTGTGCGTGTGTGTGTGTGTGTGCGTGTGTGTGGAGAGAGAACAACGAGAGCTTCAAACAGACTTTGTTATTATTCCGTCTGTCTATTTGTATTTATTTATTTATTTTCTATTTTTATTTATTTATTTTTCTCTTTTTTTTTTTTTTTTATCAGCTAACTGCGTGTCTCAATGCGCTGCATTTGCGCTGAGCAAATATTAATCGGCGAAGACGACGGCCCACTCGACGCTCCCAACTTTGAAATTCAAGCATCGCTTTGGCTTTGACTACTCCATTGCCAAATCAATTGCACTTACAACAACAAGCACTCGCTCGGCTATGTAGCTGCAGCTAGCTCACAGGCAAATGGAAATCAATTTTGAAATGAGAATCACGTGCCGTTGCTCGACAGGCTCCAGCAGCAGCAGCAGAGGAGCAGCAGCAACCTCTTGCACCTTTATGCAGTGGCAGCAGTTTCTGTTTGCCTTCGATTGCCTTGCCAAACATGTGCAATCGCTAGCCGTGCATAAAATGCATGACTCTATGTTAATTTGCCTGTCAGAGCCGTCTAGCTACACGTGCCCAGCGATTATGTGTATTCAGCGTGCAGCATGTCATCGATCGTGACAATCAGCCTCGCTCACAGAAGGCCCTTAAAACGCTTAGATATAGATAGCAAACA